AAGGCTTTCTCCTGCTAGCCAATACTCGCAACCACTGCTATGCCAACTCAGGTCTGCAGTGTCTCCACTGGCTATCAGATCCTTCAGAGGCGACTTTTCAAGAGGCATCCCGGATCAGTCAGCTTGCGAGAATAACCCCTGAACACAGAGTCTTCTCGGAGCTCACCATGGGCTGGCTCTTTGACGGAGGCCAGCACGACTCTGCTGAGTTCCTGCAGCAAGTGTTTCGGAATCTCTCTGCATCAAGATTTGGACAGTGGGAAACTAGAGCCTCAGTACCGGAAGGCGTGATAGTGGACGAAGAAGGGGGCTCTCCCATTCATCTTGCCACGGCGATCAAGACCAACCTACAGGACATGCTAGTGGCATGGTCGTCTCAGGAGCGCTCATGTGCTCTCATAGAAGCTGCACAGCAGGTGTGCTTAGCCTTGCCGAGATTCGCAGGTGAAGCTAAGGATCACACTCGCATCACAATCCCACAGCAAGTCCAGATCCCTGTCTTCCTGGACCACACATCCCGAGTTTCGTTCTGTACCTACACAGTAGAGGCAGTGATCATTCACCTAGGAATGGAGTCCACTAGTGGCCATTACCGTGCAGCTGTACGTACAGCAGATGCCTGGTATGTTGGTGATGACTCCCACCCCCCTAGTCCCTGTACCCTCGAAGATCCCCTGCTTCAAGAAAATAGCTACGTCATCTTCCTAGCTCGCAGCGCCGTCTCTCACGAGCCCCAGGACGTAGCTAATCTCCCGAGTAATGTCTCTGCAAGAGCTCTTCCAGCGAGCCTTGCGGAGATGCTCCCTTAGGAGGAGACTCTCCCCAACAATCGGAGGAGTTTCTCCCCTTGCCATTTGTGTACAGCTGGTGGAGTTTCTCCCCAAGGGTTTTTAAACAGTAGGAGAACATCAGGTGGAGCTTCTCCCCTCGGGTGGAGTCACTCCCCCTCCTCGTCCTTCCAAAAAGAGAAGCACTGGGCAAAGCGACGGTGGAGATACTCCCCCTGCAGCAAAGGCCAAGAGTGGAGATCCTCCCTCAGGGGACCCCTCTCCACAACAGGCCACCGATGCCGCATAAGACTCTGAAGACACGTCCGATTCCGACTTCATTGCTTGCAGCCTTGAGGGGCGGAGCGTGTGCGAGTGCTGTGTTAAGGCACGGCTCGTCATGAAGTGACCGCGCAAGTAGCAAGCAGAGCAGCAGGTCGATCCCTCGCAAAGCGTGGACGTTAAGTTTCACCTCAGACAGTATCCTCCCGCTGCGTGTGAATGAAATGCTGTTGTTGTTGTTGTTGGTAGGTGTTGCGTCTGCCGCCGCGCGGGGTGGTGCAATTCCTCTGCTGGCATGCGCTGAAACTCGAGTTTTGGCACTTTCGTCACCTGACGTTTAACTTTGCTTTTGCTTTCGCATCGGTTTTTGCTGTGTTTTCTACCAAACAAGTGACCCCGCCGGCGGGCTCCACTCTGCAAACTCATGTTCGGCTCTGCATTTCGCCTCGTTTTTGTTCGGTGTTTTCGTGTGTGTGTGTGTGTGCGCAACTCCTGTTTCCAAGGATTCTGAGTCGTAACAAAATTTTTTCGAACAAAAGCAGGGGGCCACAGGCCTACCATCGGAGCTGTGGCCAACGAAGACCTCCGATGGTAGGTGTGAAAACGTACCTGCTTAAGCCTTGAGACCTAAACAATCAATTGTATTGCACATCTAAAGTATGCATGTCTTTGAGAAGAACCTGGAACCAAAGAAGATTTCTGAGGCCTTGGTATTCGAACTTAAGATAATCTAGATGAAAAGCAATTTGTTAAGAGATGCAGACAAGAGATAACGACAAGAAGAAGGGACAGGACTACAAGACAACCGGCAGAGACCGGATTTCCATGTGTGTTGTTCGGCCGGTAATTCTGACAAAGGGCCGGTCGTGATGGTTGCAGTTGCAGCCCATCCAAGCATACCCAGGATATCCGAATTATACCCACATGAAGTGATTTAATTCTGGTTTGCAACCAGACTACTTTGCAGAGACCCAATGCTTTGAAGGCTAACGCAATCCCAGGTATACCCCTACCAGAAAGCACCCAAGCATCTCTGATATGTCTGTTCGCAGGTGTATCAGACTAAGGTGTCATAGCATACCCAAGCGATCCCAAGTACACACAAGGTCATTCATTGCGAATGATCACCCAAAGCTGATCCATCGTCTTGATAGTCTTCTGCTAAGCAGTCCCCAAGCTGATCCAACGCTTTATGCGATCCGAAGTATACCCAAGCTGATGATGACATCCGAATTATACCCAAGCTGAAGATGATGATTCGTCCGTTCGCCACCCAACAAGCACCCAGCGTCCCTTGGCCTTTTCAGGCCTGTGCGGTTGGAGGAAAGTAGAAATTATATTAGTAGATCTAACTTTCATCATCATCTGAACTCTATTATTATCGTGAGTAGATTTCGATCGCCACCCAAAGCTGATCCAGCATTCGTGTGTCTTCTCGTCTCGTTTCATCTTATACCCATCTGTAGCATTCGTGCTCAAGAGGACGGAAAGTGAGATGCAAGGCGCTTGTTGTGTTGCTATTGTTGTTCTTCGTTCAGTCGTCGTCGTCGTCGTGTTCCTGCGTTGCTCTTGCTCGCTGTGTCACCGTCTTTTTCGTTCGTGTAGATGTTCCAGCCACAGTTATCGTGGTGTTGATTGTTGTGTCGTTCGGTCGTCGTCGTCGTTGTTGGTGCTCGTTTGCTTTCTTCTGTCATTAGCACGTTCGTGTCGTTGTTGTTGTTGTCGTTGACTCAACGACGACGACAAACGACGACAAAAGAAAAGAAAAGAAACGACCACAAAACAATGGAAAGAAGAGATGCAGGCGCAGGATGGCCAGCGAAAAGGCCAATGACAAGAGCTGAAAACGTACCTGCACGTAGCTTGAGCCTTGAGACTCAAACAATCAATTGTAGCGCTCATCTAGTATTCCGTACCTTTCAAAACAACCTTCCAAAGCAAAGCTTCCAGAGGCCTCAACATTTACTATCTGAAATAGTCTAATGGATGAAATTTTGAAGAAGTGTCAAGGAAAAGAGACAAAAGAGACTACGAGACAACCGGCGGATCGAAAGTCTTTGAGCAAAATACTTGGCCCAGATGTACAAGATCACTACTGGCTAGCTTTTTAGGTTCAGGTTATGATTTCAATTTTTTGTCTAGCTGTTCTGTTGACAACCGGTCCTACCGGGGTCGTGTGTGCGCAACTCCTGTTTCCAAGGATTCTGAGTCGTAACAAAATTTTTTCGAACAAAAGCAGGGGGCCACAGGCCTACCATCGGAGCTGTGGCCAACGAAGACCTCCGATGGTAGGTGTGAAAACGTACCTGCTTAAGCCTTGAGACCTAAACAATCAATTGAATTGCACATCTAAAGTATGCATGTCTTTGAGAAGAACCTGGAACCAAAGAAGATTTCTGAGGCCTTGGTATTCGAACTTAAGATAATCTAGATGAAAAGCAATTTGTTAAGAGATGCAGACAAGAGATAACGACAAGAAGAAGGGACAGGACTACAAGACAACCGGCAGAGACCGGATTTCCATGTGTGTGTGTTGTGTGTTGTGTGTTGTGTGTGTGTGTGTGTGTGCGTGTGCGTGTGTGTGTGTGTGTGTGTGTGCGTGTGCGTGTGTGTGTGTGTGTGTGCGTGTGTGTGTGTGTGTGTGTCGCATTTCGCATTGGTTTTTTGCAGTGTTTTTGCCGAATTTCGACGTTCTGCACATGCCAGCTTCGACTTGCATTTGTCTTTCAGCTCCGTGCGGGGCTTGGGGGGGGAGGGGAGGGGGAGGGGCGGGTGGTGATGACGTCCATGCGAACGCGGCTTGTATGTTGTTTCCTATGTGTCGCAGTTCGCATTGGTTTTATGGTGGTTTTGCCGATTCCCGACTTTGTGTACATGCCAGCTCAAACTTGCAATTTGTCTTTCAGCTCTGCACGGGGGGGGCATGGGGGGGGTGATGACGTCCATGCGAACGCAGCTTGTGTCTTCTGTTTCTTTGGTTGTGTTACTACCAGTTGTTTGCTCTGTGAACTCGTGCTTGCCGTTTCTTCTTGCTTCACTTTAGAAACGTCCACCATGCAAAACCTCGAGTTTTTGAAGCTTTCCAGACAAACTTCCCAAATGAGCCTAAAAATCAACATAATCAAAGACGAAAAGCACGGTATTTGCGACACTTCCGCAAAATCCTCACCAAAATCACAAGACAAAGAACTACAGAAATCCGATACATCGTCTTGTTGATGAAAACCACAAATAACACGGGGCTTTCTACTTTTTGACCAAAAAACCTCCCAAACATAAACGACACACCCCGCGCGGCGGCGGACGCAACGCCTTCCTTGTTGTTGTTGCTGTTGGTGGTCGTGATGGTGGTGGTGGTGGTGGTGGTGGTGGTGGTGGTGGTGGTGGTGGTGGTGGTGGTGGTGGTGGTGGTGGTGGTGGTGGTGGTGGTGGTGGTGGTGGTGGTGGTGGTGGTGGTGGTGGTGGTGGTGGTGGTGGTGGTGGTGGTGGTGGTGGTGGTGGTGGGTGGTGGTGGTGGTGGTGGTGGGTGGTGGTGGTGGTGGTGGTGGTGGTGGTGGTGGTGGTGGTGGTGGTGGTGGTGGTGGTGGTGGTGGTGGTGGTGGTGGTGGTGGTGGTGGTGGTGGTGGTGGTGGTGGTGGTGGTGGTGGTGGTGTGGTTGTTGTTGTTGTATTCTTGCTTGGGTACCTCGGAATCCCAGAAGAGCTCTTGGCGAAACGCCTTCAGAAACTATGCATACTATGTATGTTTCCAAATCTTGGTTTTTGAATTTCTGACAGCACGGGAGCGTCTCAGTTGTTTCGGATTGCTCCCGCAAACAGGCTCGGCATAGGAGCACCCGCAGAAGGCAAAGGCGAGTCCACGATGAAACATAACCAGCGTCGGTTGAGTTCAACCCTTTCTGGGAAATACTGCCGGGTCTTGAGGCAGAAGGGGATTGTGCTGTCAAGGAGCCAATGTCACAGAAGGAATCAAAAACATCCCAAAGGTCATCAATATCTCTGTGGCAATAATCTTCACAGGAGCTTTGCGGATAAACATAGTAGTCCACATCACAGAAGAAATCGCAGATCCTCGGTGCTACATCAGACGCGCACACACACGCAGACACGAACCATTCTACTCAAATCGCAGACTACCATGATGATATGGGACGCCCAAGCTCCAACTTGTGCTAGCTAAGCTGCCAAAGGTCTTGTATTTGCCACAATCCTCCAAGCTCCAGTCTGCAAGCCTCTGCAGCTCGTCTGCAGTGGACAGCTGCCAGAGGACTATAACAGCCAGGGAAGTTCGGAAGGCCATCTCGGTTCGGTTCTCCTACGAAGCTCCTACGGGACAGAGCCAAGTGTATCGCCAGCAGCGACCGCATCAAACACCTCAACACTCCCTCAACACTAGAATCTTGGACTCTTGTGTTCACGAGCGGTAGCACAGTGCACTGTTTCACCGGATCATGATGGACCAACTGTCGAACAGGGAACTGCCGAGCGACAACAGACACTCTCTTTTCAATCGCATGGTCCACCAAGCGCACAATGACAAACACATGCTTCTCTTTTGTTGCTTCCTATCTCTGGCGGCCCAGCAAACGCCGCTGCTGAAGCTGTGGTTGTGTCGCGCCCCCAGCGTACTTGTCTGGCCTCGGCGCGTTGTGTGGGTTAGGCCGTGCATTAGTGACATGACGCAACAGAACCCTACTTTTTCTGGAAGCTGCAATGGCAGGAGAGCAAACGATAGCGTGCCAAACACCACAGTCATCGTGTCGTGCAAATTGGAAAAGCAGAAACGTGCGGGCGCACACCTGCAATGGAAAACAGTGTTCAAAATGCTACAACTTGGATCACGGGAGCCCAGCAAGGGGCTACGACGACCCAGTGACACATCACACAGAGTTGCCAGGAAGCGCTCACGGGACGGGTTCATTCCGGATTTCCTTGCAAACCTTCATGCAGCTTGAAGCTGGGCGGAAACCTCAAACCTCAAGCAGATGCTCAAGCGCATCTTCCGATCCCTTGCCTGGTGATCGAAGTACACTTTCAGCCACTCTACAACGCTGTCGCTCATCTTCACCTCCGGTTCCACAGCGATTTCCTGGAAAAGATGCGATGCCATGCAGCCTCCGAGTTGGTGGAGTTGTCGTCGTTCCAGCACCGGAACATGATTCCACCATTCGGCTCCAGAATCATTTCAAACCGCAGGTTCCCTGTCAAGGACATCTCCGTGTGTGCCGTATGTGAGATGCGGAAACTGTTGCAGCCGAAGGCTCCGCCAGAATGGAAGCCCTTCATCAAATTTCCATGGAGCTCATGGTTATCGAAGTGCATGGGGGGTTCCTTGCTTGGGCCGATTCCGTTGTCTGACTTTCACCACCACCAAGAGTGCAGCCGGCTGGCATGACCAGCCAGGTTCTTGAAGGCACGGTGCACCAAGGGCATGCTTCGGAAAAGCCGTGCCTCTTCCATGCTACCTGGAAGCGGTGAAGCTGTGCGGAAAACGAGGTATGCCGATAAACGGGAAAAGAGCCGCGCCTGCATACTTCTCGGCGAGGAAGCGCAGCTTGAGCTGACCGGCAGCCTCGAAGAGAGGAGAAGGCTCGAAGTCCTCCTGCTGTGACGGCACGAGCGATGCTGCAGCTGGCTGTGTCACCTCTTGTACCCCGTCCCGTCCTCTGCCAGGCATTTCGCCAATGCGGCCTGCAAAGCCGCCTCGTTGGGTGCGCAGCCGAAGTTCGCCACGAAGCCGGCGATCTTGGCGGAACGAGGCCGCCCGCCTCGTAAGTCGCAAGAGTGCTTTCAACTATTCTAACCTCCTCGGGGTGCTTTTTGCCCGTTCTGCCTGGAACGAGGTCGAAGATGACGACTTCCTCCCCACGGCCCGCGATTCTCTGCGTGTTGTCATCACTCTATTTGGCCCCAGTCCTCTGAGCCGGTGTCCCACTCCAAACCCAGGATCACCGCGTCCCAGTCGTGGGGTCCTCGTTCGTCGTCAACTTCCCAAGAATTTGTGACTTCCTCGGGCTCCCTCCGACCCTGCCAGGCCTAGCTGGTCCAGGAATCCGGGCATCTCCTGGGCAGTTTCCGCGCATCGCCGCTGGCATCAACACGAACACGGCATCGCAGAAGGGGCTGTCCTGTCGAAGGCGATCCATTTGAAAGAACTCCCGGTCCGTCACGAAGACCGACTTCGAGGAAAGGCCTCACAGTCATGATTCCCCAGCTGGGAAACCCACATGCCCTCACAGCTGCAGCGGTTCTTTCTGACTTCTCTTCTAAAGCTTAGTGACAGCACGCTCGGAGCACTCGGACTACAGTCTGTACACGACAACGTACTTACTCGGCGTCGGTCTCCTCGGCTTCAGTACTGTTGTCGTCCGGAATGCCCTGGGCACCGTCTGAGAAAACCCTCGTTTTGAGTGTTCCTGACGCGAGCTCGCTGGCGAAGTCGTTCTTTGACATGGCCGAAGTCTCTGCGAACAGACCGGTGAGGTACGGCAACGTGGCAGAGGTGTAGATCTCCCGCGTTTTCTGTCGTGCTCCCAAAAGTAGCTCAAGCTTGTGGCAGAGCATGATCCTGTGGATTCTGCCCTCGAAGCACTTGGCATGGAACTCGGAGGAGAGTAAATAGATCTCCAGCACAGCAACTAGAGAAAGACGTGGCTCCACGGCCAACATCTCCACTTGGTACCGACCCAAGCGTTGCCCGTTGCCCCAAGCACGTCGAGCGAGTGTGGCCGACCTTGTAGAAGTCGGTGCCGTTGGCGTCGACGGCTTTGAGGAGGTGGACCGACAACCAAAGCCACTTCTCGAAGACGGCTTTGGCTTCCTGGTCCAGGGCGCTGAGACTGAGCGTCTGCAGGCCTCTGGTAGTCAGTGGACTGTAAAACCTCCGCAGTTGTTTCTCCAGCTTCTGGAGCTTCTCGGACCTCGATGGAGGAGAAGCTCCATCCAGAAGCTGGAGAAACAACTGCGGAGGTTTTACAGTCCACTGACTACCACGGGCCTGCAGACGCTCAGTCTCAGCCCTGGACCAAGAAGCCAAAGCCGTGTTCGAGAAGTCGCTTTGGTTTTCGCTCCACCTCCTCAAAGCCGTCGACGCCAACGGCACCGACTTCTACAAGGTCGGCCGCACTCGCTCGACGTGCTTGGGGCAACGATTCAGCCCCACTCAGGCCAAGGATGAGGACGAGCCGGAGCAGTCCGAAAATCGGGGCCCGATGACCGGCATCCCAGATTTTCCAACGGCGCTTCAGAGCCTCCTCCGGCTCCTCTGGCCGAGCCTCCGGGCGAGGGCGAGGAAGTGGCTGCCGGGGCGGAAGCGGAGGCGGAGGCGAAGGACGCGGACGGGCGCGCGGACGAGCCTCGCACCAGTGATCCGGCTGTGCAGCAGTTCGTGGGCGAGCAGCCTGCAGGGGAGGAGGAAACCGGGGAGACTGAGGATTTCCCTGAAGTGAGGGTGGCCCTTCCTGACGATGAAGTGGAGCCATTGATGGGCAGTGAGCATCGTCGCAGCCAAGTGCCGTGTTCGTGGTTTGTCGTGGTCTAGGGCATTGTGGGATGCAGACGTACACTGTTGCAAGACCTATGCAGATCGGGTACAGAAACAAGCCCAAAAAGCAAGACAAGTATGAGACGACATTAAATAAAAGTAGGTTACAAAAAAAACCTGCCTTGGTCAACTTTTGCTCGTAGGACCCCGCGAGCTCCCATCGTGGCCAGTGACGCTTGAGCAAGAGGTCTTGCTCCGCAGCATCCGCGGTCCGGATCTCCGCAATCACGCCGTTGATGAAAGCGGTGTCCGCCGGCGACAAGGACTCCTCGAAGTAGGTTTGCTTTTGAGAAGCAGATTTGCCGTCGACGATCTTCGATAGCACCTGGTTCATGAGCCACAGCACCCATGCACACGATCGAATCATGGCGAAGGCATCCGCTTCGTCACAAATGCTTGCACGCCACCGGCGACTTGATCGTCCGCCTCCAGCCCGACACTGCTTAGATACTGGACTTTGCCTCGGATCATGGTTCTCCTTGTCAGCCTCAGGAGCCTTCCTCTTCTGTCGTCTGGACTTCACAGGCTGTTGCACCGCCACGGCCGGCGGCACTGCCGGTGGCACTGCCGGCGGCACCACCTCTGGCACTGCCGGTGGCATCACTGCCTCCGGCACTGCCGGCAGTCCCTGTGGCACTTTCTCCAAAATCTCCTTCTGCAAGCGCAGGTCGCTAATCTCCTTGTTCAGCTCGGCGATGGTGCCGAGCTGCGGTTTAATGATTTCAGAGTTGTATTGTATGGTGCTGTTTTGCTTGCTTTCTGTCCGTGCCTTAGCCAACGACTGCAGAGAATTGATCAGAGACTCCGTTCTGTTCACGTCGAAACCTCCTTTGGCCACCTCGTTCACTGTCTTGACCGTCAGATCATTGAACACTTGGCTCTCTGAAGGACTCCCCAATCCTCCAACAGAGCCTAGCATACTCGCGTCTGGCACGTCAAGGCTCACCGCGAACGGAGACGACGACATCACTGAGCTCAGATGGCTACGGCTCATTCTGATAAGGCAAGGCATTTGTGGGAGGTTTCCGGCTTCAGGCAGCTTGTCCGGAAGGCCCCTTGAAGGGGCCCAAAAGCCCCGAATGTTGTACCTTTGGACGAGGCTCCCATCTCCCCCACAGCAGCTCTCATCGCGGGGATTCCCCGCACGGCCAGGCACGGGACCTGACATGAAAGTGCTGTTGGCAGCTGCACTTGAAAACCGCATCCTTTCCAGCCGAGTTGCCATGCATTCATACGCGTAGCTCAGAGTGGAAAGCTCAAGCCGCTTGTCTGACACGCTGCTGAAAGCGATCACCTGCAGGGGGGAGCAAGCGACCTTGACACAAGCAAGGGAAGGTCCCTAGTCCCTTCTATCCCCGCCTGAGGCGCTCCCAGGTACTGAGTTTGAGCTGAGAAGCGCGCTTGCGACACGAGTCCTCCAAAGCACAGGGAACTCAAAGAAATGAACATCTACCAAGTGCTCACCTCGTCTCAGAGCTACTGTCAGAGTTGCCTTTCTTTCTCCCCGGGTCCGTCTCGGAAGCCCATCTGCACCACCCGGGGCCCATCGGGGCCGGGCGTTACCATGGGTGGCACATGACCGCGGTCGTAGAGATCCATGAGACGCCGGAAGCATTCCGGAGAGCCCTTGGCCACGCCAACTACGCCTCCGTTGCCCTCGATGTACTCTATCTCTTCTGCGGTTGCCTCTAGGAAGAAGTGGTCCTGCAAGTGCCAACAGTGCCAACAAAAAGAAGACCCGCCCTCCGCAACGGCCT